TTTGCTATATCATATCCTGGTGTAAAATGGCGTAAGCTATGGCATAGTGTTTCAGGACTAGTCCACACACGTTAGATCAGCGTTTTATGTCTTGGACTGTTTATATAAATTCTAGTTGAAGTATGAATAAACTTTTCCTTTGCTTTGCTCCAGTTAGTACTCTGTATATCTGATGGGGGCCTGGAACTGTTTCCTGGAAAAGAAGGAGCAATTGGGGGAGAAAAGGAGATTAAATGAACTTTACTTCTAATAGCAAATATCCTCAGTTGGCATTGGGTAGTAGAGGTAAAAAAAATAAACATAGAAAATGTTTTTATCACTTTTTTTTTTCTCAGTGAAAAATTATGATTAACTTAATTAACTGATGCCCAATGCTATGAGTATAATAATGCTTTTTCTTTCGTTTTCTTATATGTATGTAAAATGTGTGGAAATTAAAGACATGGATTAGCTCAAGATATCTGTAATCAGAAAGGACTGAACCTGGGTTTCAAAGACAACTTCAGTCAATCCCTTCACCTGCTTGTTTGTCTTGGAGTTCTAGTGCAGTATTTATGGAACAGATACTGCTTATGTAATACAATGCTTTTCTCATTTGAGGATATTATTTTGCAAAGTGTCAGTTTAGGGCTGAGGGAAATAAAGCAGTTTGGCAAGAAACATCAGGAGACTTGGATACAGTTTCTATATGCATCTCTGACACAGAGCTTTTCTTCAGCAGTGCTCTCTTTTTACCTCTTGATGACTTGCACTGGATGATTTCCCCCTCCTCCCCCACCCCCCCTTGAACTTTCAGTTCTCTTGTGGTTAAATTGAACTGTGGTTTTTGGAACAGAGATGCACTAGCATCTCTCTATCTTTTTTTAAAAAAAAAAAACAAAAAACAAACAAAAAAAACCCAACCAAAAAACTATCTAAGAGCTGGATGGTTTGTGACCTGTGTGCAGAGAGACTTTACATGGTGGCTTTTCTTTTGGCTAAGTGCATACATTGAGCTTAAAATTTTGCAAAGCACAACTTTCTCTGTTTAACCAAGCCTGCAGATCTAATGTGAATTGAATAATCTTCAATCTGTAAAAGTTAAAGCTGAGAATCATGTGGAAATATTTGGTTTTGACCTGGAAAAAAGCCAAAAAAAAAAAAGTTTCAAGTTAACTTCAGGTTTTCAAAGTTATTTATGAGAGTCTTGTTCAGCCAGAAAAAGCCAAAACAGCAAGATCTCTGGCCCAGTTCCCTCCATGTATTTTAGCAGGAAACAATATAAACAAACTAGTTTTCTTCTGACTCAATTCCTATTCTTACATAGCTCTACCCACTTATTTTATATTTTATATGAATGTAGACATGCAGAATTTCATTTGATGGAGGTTCTCTCAACTAGAATTCTAAAATTCATCTTCAGAGTTTAATGTATACAAAATATACCTTTCAATTTGCAAAGTATCTTTTTATGATAAGTAGGCAGGAATACGGAGGAAGTTGAAAAATTAGTACTCATCTCACTCTTGGCTATGTCACCTGGAGTAATAAAGCCATTGCTATTGTTTGGGGGTTTTTTGGCACAGCTGTGATTTCCAGTATCATAGATGTATCTAAAAATTCTACCATAGGTGCCAATAGCAGCTCAAGAGTTGAGAGTGTTTAAATAAATATGGAGTCATTTTGTACAGTCCACGGTATAGTTAAATCAAAACTATTGGTGTCTGAGCTAGATAGACTGATGTTAGGAGATACTCAACATGCTGCATTTCTGCTTTGATTTGGGCTATAAACTTAACTCTTAGAAAACAAACAAACAAAAAAAAACCCCAAACCAACCGAACAATGTATAACTTCAGTAATTCTGTTGTTAAAGTCAAGATTTCATAGGCTATCCTTTTTTAGAGTTGACCATCCTATCCAATTATTAGATGTTGCAGGAAAGTGACTAGTATTTCTCAAAGTCTCGAAAAAGAAACTGTAGGTTAATTGGAAATTGAAGATGGATTGTTGCAGTAGATCATGAAGCAGATTGACTGCAAAGGAAAAATTCTTAGAGGAGTTCAGAATGAACATAACTGCTTTTGTTGATTTTGCCTGACATTATACTTAGACTTTATAAAACTTAAAAAAAATCTGACAAGAAATTAGTCTCATAACTGAACTCAGCATCACAAGCATATCTAGCTTCACTAGAAATTTTTGGTCAAAAGCATGGTGACTGGAAGGCTGGAGTTTTTTGGCTTGTTTTAATTTAACTTTTTGAGTCCCTGCTGTCACTGCAGAGAATATATGTTCCTTTAAGGATATGAAATATGGTTGTACAATGTCAAAAGAAGGATCCACAAGCACAGGATCTTGTCTACAACACTGGCAATGAATACATGCCTTGTAAGAACAGAGAAATGTTTATGATACTTCTGAGTGCTATCTCAATCTCTAATTTCAGTCAGGGTATTTTCTGAACACAGAGTTCTACCTATTTTTCCTGGGAATCAGTTCTGTTAAAGAATGGGTCCTTTGTGCCTCTTGTTATGATTTTATTTCTTCCTTTATTCTTACATATGTTATCAGCTGGTATTCAAAGGTAAGAATAACTCTATATGTGGAAAAAGAAAAAGGGGAGGAAATCAATTAAAAAAAACCCCTATAAATTAGAGCTAAAAATAAAATATTTTTATTTTACCACACTTTGAAAAGATTGAGGAAAATAAGCGGAAAGAGAATGAAATCAACGACAAAATGTCACAAGGAAATAATGAAGTCCTTATATATATGTGATGTTAAACAGAACATAAATGTTTGTTTGGTGGTGTGAGGGGAATCTTCACTGTAATAATCTTTGTCAGTCTGGATGATAAGTTCATGTTCAAAGAGGACTTAGCATTGATAATAAAGTTTCCAAACAGTATGCAACTTCAAAAAGCTTTTGGTTAGAGATGTGTTATGATGTAGGAGAGCTGAGTGATTCTTGTAGTGCTTTTTTTATTTGCCCAAACTCAAGCAAGGGTAAAACATAGTCTTTCAGTTAATGTTTTGTGTAGGTACTGGACAAAATTATTAAGCTTTTAATAATTATAATAATTAGTGATATAATATAAATCCCTAATTATTATATTAATAAGGGATTTATTCTGTCTCTCACTAAACCTTCATGAAAGTAGTTGGCCTGGTTTTGCCAGGATAGAATCATAGAATTAATTCGCTGTCAGAAAAGCTGCATTTTTAAGAAGACTGCAGCACCCAATTTGGTGAGTACAAAGTTGATAAGACTCTTGGTTTTAATTTGTGGCCAGCCATGATATGTGGGTTTCCATAGTGATCAAGGTCTTTAGTGGTTTAGAATCAGCCAGGTGCTAAGGCGAGGAGGAGCGAAAGCCAGGGCAGCTGACCCAAGCTTGGCCAACAGAAATGTTCCATACCATAAACATCATGCTCACTATAAATTGGAAAGTTTGGTAAGGATGACCCTCTTCCTCAATGGTCACCATGCCTGAAGGATCTCGCCCATCATTCTGCTCCCAGGGCCTACTCTCCCACTTGTGACCATTGTGCTTTTGTCAGCTGTGTATAACTTTATGTATTTTATATTAGTATTAATATTAGTTCTTGTTATTATTTCATTAAATCTGTTTTAATTTCAACCCACAAATCTCCTTTCCTTTTCCCAGTTCTCCTTCCCAGGTGAGGAGGAATCACTGGGTGATAGAACAGCTGACTAAACCGAGACAGTAGTCAAGACACATTTGCTGTCTCAGTATAGTTTTTGATCATCTCTGATATAAAATCTGTGATCCCCTAGCTAATTTACTTAACCTGGTTCATAGTAGTGCCTCATGACTGGTGATTCCTACCTTCATACCTCCATATAGCTTTTGCACCTACTTATCGCACTTTCAACCCCTGAGTAGAAAGATGCCCTTATAAATGGCCAGTGAAATTCTTGCTTCTCATTCATCAGGTCTGGGTAAATCAAGGTGCACTGCCACAAGAGCCTCAATCCCTGTAGCCATTTTTTGGACACAAGATTTTTGGGTTTTCTTGTGATCCTTCAGCAGTTGATTTTTTTTTTTTTTTTTTAAATTTTTTAACTTAGTCAGGATACTCTGTTCTACCTGTCAGCCTGTTATATTTCCATTTTTATAGAATATGTGGATCTTGCAAATCTGAGGGAGCAAGATGTGGTGTAGCTCTCTAATGTAGTTCTCTAATACTGCCTATTGGAGCATCATCTTTACAACTATAACTGGGAGTTGCTCAAGAGCTTCACTGGTGAGAGACCTGATAGTTCTAATCCAAAAGTGATCCCAAAATTAGTCTTATCACACATGCAGTGTGGATGGTTCAAGGTACAGGACCACTAAATTGAATTAACAATCTAAACATAATTTAGGTGCACTGACAAATGCTTTCTTATCTTTCTATAAGAAGAGTTGAAATAAAGCCCCTATATCAATGAGCTTCAATTATTTATATTTTTTTATGTCAAACTTCATGGACGTTTTATAACTAAGTTATTTTCTGTAGGCATTTTATTTAGTTGATTACAAAAAAGATTAACAGTGTGTGCCTTTATGTTCATCTGGTCTAATTACTATCTGTTTTAAATAAAATTGAAAGTTTGAAGAACTTTCATGAATCACAAAGGACTCAAAAATCTAATAGGCTGTTAAATTGGAATGTGTGTACTAGTGAAAGATTTTGTTTACACTTAACAGCTTATGAGCAAAAACAATAACTATAGGTTTAAAGAAAGTACTTTTCTTTAAACTTTCATGGAGTTTGTTTTGTGTCTCAGAGTATTACTAAATGCTGAATTAATTAGCTTTGCTTATAATTTTTTTTTTTTTAAGGAAACTATTATGTTGGACAATAGTTCTACACTGCTGTTTGATTTAAAAGATCAAAGCTGTTCTCTGAAGAGTTTTGATTAACTGTGAAGACTGGCTATATTCAACACTAATAGGTATACTAAAGTGCTGCCAAGATTAATGTGGAGATGACCCTGTGCCTATTTTCAGAATTGCAGGGGGGCGAATTCTGTCAACAGTGAAGATGCATTTGATTAAAGGCCGAAGCAATGGGGATCCTTTCTGCCAGGCAGCAGAGGAAGTTGTACAAGATTTGGATTTGAAGATTAAAAATATTATCGATTCACAACATGAAGTCTTGACTGCCAGCACTACTGGAGTCAGTCCAGCACGGGTAATGGGACTTCTTTTGTTCTTTTTACTATTTAGCTTTACAAGTAAGGAAATATCTTTTGCCTGTTTTGTTTTTTTATTTTTTAAAGGACTTTATATAGAGTATTATCTTTTCTTTACAGAGGAATGTAATTTCCTCTATGCTGTGGTTTTATACTTGTTGAAAGACTTACACTTGATGATTACAGTGTGGATTTCAAAAGCTGATTTACTTAAACTAAGCTTCTTAGCTCAGAATTGTAAATAAAATGCTCTTCAAAACTTAATTTGTTTGTCCTGTTGTTATAGATGTAGATACTTATAACTGTCAGGTTTGCCACTGATTTCAAAGCAGTAGAGCTATAACAAATTTCCAAGCAAAAAAACCTCATGAAAGTGGAATTAATATTTGAGAACATATATCAGTAATTTTGATTAAAATACACAAGTTTTAATTAGCTCAGCATCAAGGATTTCTAATGGTAAAACATTAAAAAGAAATAGGAAATAAGTCCTTGTGAAATGTGGAATTGGAGGGGAGTAAAACTAAAACCCCAGCAAGTTTTTCTTTTTTAGTGTTTCAAAACACTAATTAAACTATTAATTAGTTTCCTGAAAGGAATCAGGATATTTAAAGTTTCTTAAGTCAGATGTGGAGAGCAGAAATATAAGCTTTCTACTTGTAGTTTCTGTACTTTTAATCTATTTAGGTTTATATTATGATCTTATTTGCGATTAAAATGTCAACTGGCTTTAATTATTTCATTTTAGATACAGAAAATATCTAATGTTCGCATTTTTGTCTAGGAAACTTTTAAAGACTTATAGACACTTTGAATGTGTCTACATTGTTAGAATGCTTTGTTTTGTGAAATCACTGGAATTACTCAATGGTAACATAAGATTTTTAAGAAATTTTAATCAGACTTCTAATATGCGTTTTCTTTTCTATGCGAGCTAAAACCAGCCAGACCCTAGTGGTTATTTAAACTAGTTTAAATGTGTGTTACCACCAAGCAGTTGGAGTACACATTTCATCCTCATTTTCCTGTTTCCCCCGAATCTTTCATTACTGTATTTCCATGTTTCCCTTTCATATCCTTCTATATCTTTCTCTTCCCCATCTGAAAAACTGATCACCATTATTAGTTCTGTCTTTATTTAACTACTTGTTTTAGCTACTTAGCTACTGATAAAATTTTTAAAATATATTTAGATCATTATAAGCCAGGTAAAACTATTTTAATAACATTTCATTCTTCAGAGAAATTAACTAAAAAATTGCTTTTCCAAACCAGTTTGTGTTTCTTATTGTTCTCCATAGGTCAAGCTCATAGTGTAATGACTCTAAAAATGGCTTATCAGTATCCTTGTTGAGGCAGAAGATAGCAAAGATGGTTGTATCCTGATGTTGTTAGGAAATGTGTTTAAATACTTAATCCTATTGAGAGCATTGTGAAGTTAATATTTTTCTCTAAATGGGCACCTGAGGGTAGCTGATGAACTTAATTATATTACTGTGAGTCTGTGGTTCTATGCTGAAGTTTTTGCCAGTTCTTGAGTTTAAGTTAACTGATTGCTGGAACATCCCATCTACTCATGGATGGGCAGACACTACTATAGTTTTCAGTGAGGAAGCTTAACTACATAGCAGAGGATGATAGGCTTTAGGGTAATCCTTTTCACCATACTCACTACAGTACATCCATACTGCCCACGGTATGGATGTAACTGAGAGCCATCAGAGATGACTGGATGTGGTCTGGATATGACTGATGTGCTGCTTGGCTTGACAAATCTAGTGCTGTATTGGGTTTATGCGACAAGGTTTTGGTAGCAAGCTTTCCTATGACATCAGAAGCTGCCCCCATGTTGAACAAAGCCAGTTCCAGCCAGCTCCAAGACAGACCCATGGCTGACCAAAGCTGAGCCAATCAGTAACGGTGGGCAGCACCTCTGTGATAACATTTCAGAAAGGTTAAAATATGCTGTACAACAGCAGTTGGAAGAGAGAAGTGAGAATACATGAGGGAAACAACTCTACAGACACCAAGCTCAGTGAAGAAGGAGGGTGAGGAGGTGCCTCGGGCACCAGAGCAGAGATTCCTCTGCAGCCTGTGATGAAGATGATGGTGATGCAGATTGTCCCTCTGCAGCCCATTAAAATCCACTGTGGAGCAGGTATCTACCCTGCAGCCTGGATATCCGTGCAGGAGCAGGTGGAGGTGCTCCCATGGGGAGCCCACACTGAAACAGGTTACTGGCAGAAACTGTAGCCTGTGGAGAGGAGTCAATGCAGAAGCAGTTTTTCTGGCAGGACCTGTGACCACATGGGGGACTGATGCTGGAACAGTCTGTTCCTCAAGGACTGCACCCTGTGGAAAGGACCCATGCTGGAGCAGTTCTTGAAGAACTACAGCCTGTGGGAAAGACCCACACTGAAGAAGTTTGTGAAGGACTCTGTCCCATGGGAGACACCACACAGAGGAGCAAAGGAAGAATGTGAGGAAGAAGGAGCGGTAAAGATGAAGTGTTAGAAACTGACCACAACCCTCATTCCCCATCCCTCTGTGCCACTTGGGGGAAGGAGGAAGAGTTGAGAGTGAAGTTGGGTCTGGGAAGAACTGAGGGATCCCATTCTGGTTAATTGGCAATGAATTACATTAATTTCCTTAAGTCAGGTCAGTTTTGCCAATGATGGTAATTGGTATGCGAACCCCATTAGATTTTCTTCATATTTTCTCTCCCTGTCATGTTGAGGAGGGGTAGTGATAGAGCAGCTTGGTGAGCACATGCTGGCTAGCCAAGGTCAACCCACTAGGCCTTTGTGGTGCCCGTGTGGTGCCTGAGGAATTATAGATAAGGATAGTAATTGGGAGAGGTAACGGGAAAAATGTGAACTGAACATTGCTAGAGAATGGAATAAGTGTGGGAATTTTGAGGGGTTTTTTTGAAATTGTGGTGAAGGGATGAGGAATGGAGTTGTGTTTCAATGGTCTGCCTTTGACAGTGTTGTGATGATGCTATTTTGATTTTGATACGGGGACTTCTTTTTGTTGATATAAGTGAAGTTTGTGTGATTAATGTATATTTTAATGATAATTCTTAAACATGTAATTGACAAAGTTGAGAGGTGGAAAAGGGAGCTTAGATAAATGTTAACAGACTGATATCAAATTGCATGTTTTAGTGGAGCTTGATGTGGAAGAATGTTTTACTAAGCATATAGAGGGGTAGTTTACCATTAATAATCAAAAAACAAAATAAACCAAACAAAACTACAGAAAAACCCCCCATAAGTTTTCCAAATGAATTTGAGCTGTATAAAAAAATCAGAGCATCTGTATTGTTCTGTTAAGATCTCAGGATAGCAAATATTAATGCTGTGTGTTGTTTCACATATAGCTTTTTTTTAAAATTGTGTTTTGTTTTTTTACTGTATAAATAAATTCACAAACCCTGATGCCATTTTTTTTTTTTCAGAAAAAAACTGTTCTATATTCAGAATTAGTTCAGGTTTTGATAGAAATTTATGGTTTTTTGTACATAAGAGACTGAATATTCATTTGCCTACAAATTTAAAATATAATCTTAATTCTAAAGCTGAAAATTATACTTTTACTAGATCCTGGGAAGGCTGCTTCCTCTTAAAATGTAACTGAAAAGAGTTACTTTGTTAGAAAAATATTTGCTTTTCTCCTGGCAGTGGCAGTTTTCTTCCATTATTGCTCAGTTTTCTTGCAAGCACCTGTTTTATAAGAATCTACAGCTCCAGGAAAATTTATTGCTTTATGCAGCAGGAAGCACTACTTTGTGTTGAAGCCTGCACGAATGACTAATAGGAATTATGATTAATTCATTCCTGAGAAAATTACTACTGTAAATGGAATCTGACTGGTGTTTCTGGAACTAACTAGAATAGTCTGGAGTAGCTAATGGTCACTACCCTCGAAAGACTGATGAACTGGTCAACTAATCAACTATTTTCTTGAAAAAAAAAATTTGAATAATGATTTTAAGCTTATTAATAAACAAGATTTTTATGGCAGGAATTGTTTTCTTGCCTAAAATTCTTTTTGTGCCTTGGGCAATAGGATTTTAGTCCATGGTTAGTACACCAAGTCACTGTGGTTGTAGTACACGAGCTTTCTGAAGGTTATCTTTTGTCAGTTAGGAGGTTTAGGAGGTTATGTTATGTTCTGAAGACTCTATTTTTTCCTTTGTGTATAATCAGTCATGATGATGCCAAAATTCTACTTTTCTTATTAAGAGAAATTTACTGTGACATACATGACATTTTATAAAATTCTGTGATGTGGTGATGTAATGACTGAAGAGGTTCAGAATAAATTTGAGGAAATTAAATGGTACTGAAATAAGCCAATTCTATAAAGCCAAGTAACAACCATTTCTGTAATTGCTATTTCTAGCTATTGATTATAACTTATAGTAACTGACTGACATGTGTTGCTATGGTTTCTTAAAAGCTACATACACTAATTGATGTAATCAAATAGAGAGAGAAATAGAATTTGATCTTTTCAAGACTGTGTTTAAAAGCAGCTAACTGATTAGATAAATGCAGTTCATTGCTTGTCCTGTCCTTCTGAACAAAGTCAGGCTATTCAGTGTTTCTGTGTATTGGTAAATAAGAAAGCCTATAGTTTTTAAAATCTACTACTGTGTATTAAGCACTAAACTTCTCTGTGGAACTCCCAGTACTTTTAAAGAAAATATATCAAACTTGCAATTCTTGCAGTCCCATAGTGGCTGTGGAGTTCTACATCTGTACTGCTGACAGAAGCATTGAGCACTTCCAGATGTGGATTATTATTTTCTTTAAGGAATTCTTTATTCTTGTGGAAAATCGTGAAGAATTCATCCTGTTACAAACAGGAGATTGTGCCAAGTACCTCTGTTGTCAAATCTTAATGGAAATCTCACTTTTAACCAACTGCTTTAGCAGATTCAGTTAGAGGAGTTGGACTTCACGAGAATGTGTTTGTTTACCCCATACACACATAGGTTGTAAGAAAATAATACATTAATTTCTGCTGCATGGTTTCATCACAGATTTGTATCTTTATCTGTGTGACTTGCTTATCACTGTCACCCAGCTGGCAGTGATCTAAACTCTGCTAATTGCTTGGGTTGAGGAAGAAACTTGCCCATGGGTAGATTCTTCATAAATGGTTACTGCGAAAGGGAAGGAGGGGATTCTCACACCTCACACTGATATGGGTGGGTTTTGGAGGTGAGCTAATGGTCTGACTTGTTGACCTTTCCTGTTGTGTGTTCCTTTTAATTTTATTTACTTTCAGCCAAAATTGCATTCCATAAATCATGGCACTGTGTATTGTGGCAGAGATACTGTAAAAGTCTTACTAATTCTACTGGATGAAGCAGCTGTCAGTCCTCCCACCCAGAACAAAGCAGAACTATTATATGGTGATGAAAGCTTAAATTTGTTTGGAATCACCTCTGTTTTGACACTCTTCAGGTGAGTACTAGAAAGTTTTTTGTGTTTATTTGTTTTTGAAGGTCTTATACTGAGTTCCTAACAAAGCTTTAATATTACTTACACAAAACATGCCATCAGCTGCAGTGCAGTCTGTTGAGAGGTTATGTATAAAGGGTTAGCATTCTTAGAATAGTCTCAAGTTCTCAAAAGTATTCTACCTCCTCATTCACATTTTTTGTATCTTCAAAATACTTTTGTACTATGGACTTTTTGAGCTTGTACATTTCTGGACTGCACAAAACCTGTGAAAGAATATTCTTTGCAACAAACCTTCCAAATACTCGCCCAGGTTTAGTTCGAACTCCTAAGTTCAAATACTGTCTGTTCAGTAGCTAGTTAGATTACTATTCAATTTGATACCTTCTTTGTCTAGCTATGACACAGGAGATTTTTGGACTATATCCTGTGTTCTTCCTACAAAGGAATTATTTTGTGGAGACAGTTTTAAATAGTTTTTCATATCACGATCCACCAGCCAGGATAGTATTGCACAGAGGATACTGAAACAAATTTGCATGGATGGAGATTTATTAGTAGGGTCTGTAGCTGATGGCATACATTGACTCTAATGGTGGAAGTTTATTTTTGGGAAGAATCAAGTCAAAAGCCGAGAGAGAGGAGAGGAAAGAGAAAACTCTCCCTGGGGGCCAGCTGGGAAGTAAAGCAGCCAGGGTTCCCAGACGATCATCCTCTGTAGTACAGTGGTTGTTTACCCAATAGCGTTTTTCCTATGGTAACTATACTGTCTTCATAAGGACCTGCTCAAATGCCTTCTTGGTTGTCCCTGCTTTTGGTGCCTTTAGTGGTGACTGGAGCATCTGTTCATTAGGGCAGTTGTGTGGCCAGTTGCTTAATAAGCTCTGTGCATGCACGTTTTTGCGTTCCTTAGCATAAAAGAAGAGCTACAATGAAAAGGGTAGGAAAAGCAGGGAAGAAGGGGGTGTTTCTTATGCTGGTGGCAGTCCTTTCCCGTGAGAGCTCACCATAACAACGCTATCAGAGTGTGCAGGTGCAGAGCTGTGAAGATAACAGCAAGGAAAGAGAAAAACAGTGATAGGTCCTAAACTGGAAGATGGAGGATCTTAAAAGTCGAAGAATTTAAGGGTTCCATTAGAGTTACTGTTCAACCTCTTTTATTAAACCGAAGTAACAAGGACACTCTAATAAAACTTTAAAAAAATAGTTTCAATAGTAAGAATTCTAAATAACCCTGTAATAATTTCTAATGTAAAAGGCAGCTTGTAACAATGTATTGCGGAATATTTCTTTCACTGCTAAAACATCTGTGGATAGCTGTAGCTATATATTTCTATTTCATTATGTAACAAGCTTAAAATAACCCTGATTTCAATCTCCTATTTTTCGCTTACTTCAGATCAGGAAAATTGATCCACATTATTTTTAAAATTGTTTAATTAATTTAATAAACCTCACTGTAGTGAGGTTTTATCAGAATGAAAAGGAGCTTAATCAGATTTAGGTTAATACTCTGTGTGAATGGAATCAGGGCCCATTTGAGTTCTCCTGAATTAAACACTGCTATTATTCAGAGTTAGAATTTTTTTTTTTTAGTAACTCTTTAATTTAAAATTAGTTTTAAACCTTTTATTTCTGAATAGGAGTGCTTACTGAGTGCTTTGGTTTTGCTTACCTAATTTCCTAATTTGATTTTTCAGCTGAATTAATTTTCTTGAATTTTCCCCCAAAGAACAATGCATTTGCTTGACTTGAGTTCTTGGTGTAGGTGTAAGCAGGTACTGCTGCCTGGAAATTTATATTGTAATCTAGACAATTCTTGTGTTTTCCATAGTTGCTTTGTTTTATTTTCCAGTATATAATTTTTTTAATATTATCTATGTGCTTCCATTCAAAAAATTGGTTAGAAGTAATTTATTCAAAGGATTGAATTTATTATTCTAAATAATTGTTTTAGGAATAAAACACTTTGCAAAAACTATAATGAAACTTGCAAACAACACCTGTTCTCAATTTTTGTTCTCCATTTCTCTTATCAGCTTTACTGTAAGGCCCCTATTGCTTCATGAATACTGAGCACCTTAATACTACATGGGATAGTAGCTAAGGTGTCACTCTCCTTTCTGTCAATGTACAGGTGCCTCTATGGTTCAGCACATTTTTGTTAATGCTTATGTTTCAGATATTTCATCTAGAGGAGTGTTTGCAGTCTTTTTGCCAATCTACTGTGAGTAGTAAATCTGGAACAGTTTACAGAATGAATGGCAGTACCTTTGGCAGTAAATGTCACTAGTTTTCAGATTCTTATTGCTGATCTGTTTCTGTGCATCAGATTGTTCCTCACCTCATATGGTAGTTATTGGTTTATGGGTTTTGATCACATGGTAGTTACTGTGTTCAGGTTTTTCATGAGGCTTTTTTGTTATTTCTAGAGATTTAATTAGTGAAGAATCACAAAATATGTTTAAAGTTTGTGAGTAGTTTTGTCTGGATTCTGGTCAATTTGACAGAGCACCGTTGGCTTTCAGGTGAAGACTAAGGTTAAATGAGAGCACCTCTTTATCAAAACTTGAGCATTTCAGGAATTTTGCTTTGCTTTGTTTTACTCTTCTTTTAATAAACTTCTAGGTCAATTGGTTAGATTTATCTCTCTGCACTGAAATCCTGAAAAAAAGCTACTGCTGAGAAGCAGCTATTGCGTTGTTTAACTTTTTGTTGGCTTTCTTTAATTAAAAATATTTTCATTGTAATTTGCAAAATGCATGCATATTTGGGAACTGAAAATGTAAGCACTGACAATACCTCCTCAGTGTTTTAGAAAATACTAACCAAGCTGAAGTTTATCTTACTTAATCTGTCCTTTAGTATATCTGTTAAATATTTTCCTTATGTAAGCACTTAAGTTCAATCTTGTGGAAAATATTATATTTAGACATGCGTTATAGAAGTTCATATGAGATTCTGTTGCTATTTTTTTGTATTTTGAAGTGCAATGCAAAGCAGAAGTGTGCTATTTGTCCCCTAGTTTTTTTTTTTTTTTATTTATTTTTTGCAGTAAAGTTTCTCTTTTTCTGGTTTTGCACATTCAGTAGGTTTTCAGGCTTTGGGCAACTTTTTGTTTGCTGCTGGTTTTAATCATTCCTATCCTATTAATGTTAAAGGCAGTCATTACTACTTGCTCATTTCTTTTCTTGCTCTTTAAAATTTACTTTTATTTAAAGAATACCCGTTTTGATCTGGTGTACAAAACAAAGAATCTCTTTAAAACCCATTTATGTGGGCAGTGAAAAGGAAACTAACCTATTTGTGCACTGGAGAAGCAATGATGATTTAATCAGTCACTTATCCTGAGGAACCATAAATTGTTGGAAAAGTGAGATGCTGGGAATTTTGTCATCATGAACCAGAACAACAGTGTAGATATGAGCATGCTTGAAGTTACATGTTTTGGCAATTTAAATAGCAAAACCATTTCATTTTTCTGCAAAAATTTTGCACCACAGACAAACAGAAATAAATAAAATAAAGAATAAGCTGAATAAAATAAATTTTGTTTATGTAATAATTGAATATAATGAGCTAAGTAAATAAAATACTGAATGAGTTATTTTTTTAAAAAGCTGTTGTCCTCATGCATACTAGGCTGTATGAGCATAAACAGAGAAGTAATTATTTACAGACACACAGATTAGTTCTTATTTGAAGACCAAAAAAATGCCGTCTTATGCACCAATAAGATGTTTTAATTTTAAATAATTTTAAATAATTTTTAAAAATAAATAATTAATTTTTAAAATAATTTTAAATAATTAAATAATTTTAAATAAT